TCATACTGGCTGGTAGTTTTGAGGATTTGAATGTATGTTCCCGGAAGATGATTGAGTTGGGTTAAGCAGCTCTCCCAGTGATGAAGGTGGACAGAGGCTCTGGTGAACTAGCACAATGCGTTGTCCTCTATCAGCTGGGAATGGCTCGGATAAGTTGAAGTACTTCTCCATTTTCTCATTTTTCCCACGTCTCTCCCTGTATCTCCTCCAGTCTTATCTTTATGGCGACTGCAGCCGTCTTTCGGTTTACGCAGAAATCAAGAGATAACCGCAGCTGACAGATGGGCCAAACGGTTGAATGTACTGGTTTATTGGCCATTTACAGTTGACAGTTATCTTAACAATTCTTTAATACAGAGTCAAGTAAAGCCAAGACATTTTTCAACTGGAGTATACTGTATTTGTGATTTTTGTGTTTAATTGTCCAGCTCTATGGATGTATCCAAACTGGAATGGGAGTCAAAGAGCTCCATTGCATCTCAGTATGAAGATAGTTCCAAACCGTTCACATGTGTCTTACCATTAATCCACTTCTAAAAGGCTCTAGTTTTCAGTTTAGGATCCATGGATTTTATGTAGGTTGGGTTTCTACTTCCCAACTTTGCTAGCTTGAATATGGTATTTTATCTAAGACAATAAGATGTTTAACATTTCTTTATTTCGGCTTTCCATCATCTAAAAATTAGAGTTGATTGAACTTTGTTTAAAAATAAATTAAGGCCATAGCACAAAGTCCTGTGTGACTGTTGAACAAACTCCAAAAGCATGTCGTATTTCCTCATTTGTCAATGTGAATAATTTTCTGTACTGCTTTGGTAGAGACAGAATAAAAAGAAAAACAAAATACTTTAGTTATAAAAATCATGTAATAATAAAATCTCTCAAATAACATACGGTGTAGTGCTGAGAGGGACCAATTAGATGCTTATACCGTAATGTAAAAGGGTAGAAATAATTACACATTTTAAGAGACAAAATAAAACACAACCATTTTTTTTTCTTGATGAATTTACTACAAAATCTTCACATTCATGATTGACATTTCACATAGAAAACAATATTTTTTTGAACTACAAAGATCTTTTAATACACTGCAATTTATGCAAGTCATCTGATTGCACCACTCAGCTGGGACAACAATTCCCTTCTGGCCAGTACATACAAACAATGATGTTACTTTTACAAGAACAGTATATATAAACATAACAAGTGGGAAAAAGTGACATTTCCCCCCACTGGTGCAGTAAATCCATGATTATCACATACAGCTTAAATCACTGTAGCATTTCATAGCAAACACAGTTCTTCTATAAGTGAGTGTCTTTAACGCGGTTAGATAGAGAGGGAGAAGAGCCCGTCATGATGTCACTTCCTGCTTCCAGCTGCCATCACACTGAGAATTTACGTGGCTGTGTGGAGGAAGAAGAGTGCCGTCCGGTAGGAAAAAAATGTATCTCATAAAAAACATATCAGCTTCTGAGGGGTGGGGTGGGGTGGGGGATTCCAAAGATCTAACAGGGTCT